CTCAGGTGTGACGCTTTTTTTTTTTTTTTTTTTTAGTTTTTTGAGACAGGGTAGTTTTCTCTGTGTAGTTTTGTGCCTTTCCTGGAACTTACTCTATAGACCAGGCTGGCCTTGAACTCACAAAGATCCGCCTGCCTCTGCCTCCTGAGTACTGGGATTAAAGGTGTCCACTATCACCACCCGGCTGACACTTATATTTAAAGCTTTATCTCAGTGTCCATTTAGGGGGAACTCAAACTAATACAACACATATTTCTTCAACTTATTTATCCTTTCACCTATCAGTGGACATCCAGACTTTTGCCAAATTTTTGTATACAAATATTCTGGAGTGTAATTTCTTATAGAAATTTCCTTGTACATGGGTGGCAGGTTTCTTTTCTTTCTTCTTTTTGTGTGTATATTAGTCTTTCTCTCTTCTCTCTCTCTCTCTCTCTCTCTCTCTCTCTCTCTCTCTCTCTCTCTCTCTGGGGGTGAGGGTGGGGGTGGGGGTGGAGGGTGGGCAGGGACATTTGCTTAGAGGCCAGAGGAGGAGATCAGCTGGCCTGATCTAATCATTCTCCACCTTATTCCCTTGAGACAGGTTCTTCACTGAATGTGACACTAAGTTGACAGCCTAAAGGCCCCAACAATCCTCTTGTCTCCACTCTGACAGTCCTGTGATTTCCAGGTGTGTGAGGCCACACCTGGATTTTTACAAGGATGCTAGGGATTGGAACTCAGGTCCTCACGCTTCCACAGCGAGCATTTTTACCCACTGAGCCACGTATCCCTAGCCTTATATCTGGGGTTTTTAAGCCAATACTTAGAGCAGAGTTCCTAGGTTACAGGGCACAAATGTCTCTCATTTTACCACATGTTGTCCAATCAGCCTCCAAAGTGATTGTCATTTAAGATGCATGAGCATTCAGAAGGTTCACAGCCTTAAAGAATCACTACTTTTTCCTGATGGTTTTTTACCATGGGAGAGCTGCATCATTTGCTGTTCAACAGAATTCCTTAGTGCGGTGAGGAATAAAACCACCAAAGAAAGAAAGAAAACAGCTGATGGGCTGGGTCATCAGGTTGGCGCTATTACTGTATCTGTGCCGGAATAGCTAGACTTGTAAATCTGTCCCCCTACAAGGCCAAAGGAACTTCACACATGGATTAAGCTAAGCATGGTGAGATGGGAGGCTATCCTTGACTATACTGGGAGGACCAACAGGAACATAAAAGTCTTTATAAGAACAAGGAAGGTGATGTGGCAGACACAGCAGAAAGGAGAGAAACAGCCTCTGAAATATGGGAAAGGAAAGAAAACAGATCGTCCCCTAGGGTCCCTGAGGATGTAGCCTTATAGACACCCTGATTTTAGAGTAATGAATCATGTTGTTGTCTTAAGTCACCGAGTCAGTGTTGGTTTGTTACAGCAGCAATAGGAAACTAATATCCCACACACAAGCTGATGAGACAGTCTCTGCTGGAGTCTTCAGACCAGGGTTAGTCCAGCTTAACAGTTCTAGGCTGAGTCAGTGCCACACTAGCAGTGTGTGTGTGTGTGTATGTGTGTGTGTGTGTGTGTGTGTGTGTGTGTGTAACAAAAGAGGGCATTAGATTTGGAGCTGGAGTTACAGATGCTTATAAGCCACCCAACATGGGTGCTGGAAATTGAACTTGGGAACTGGGGTCCTCTGTAAGAGCAGGGAGCTTCTTAACTGCATAGACATCTCTCCAGCCCCTCAGGAAATATTTTGATAAGCTCACTGGGTAGGATGGCAGCTGAAATCTAACAGATAGCTTATCTACAGTGGAAATAGTGGACATTTGGGCCAGGAGGGATTGCAGGGAAGAAAAACAGGGTAAGATAAAGGGAAATTAGGCAAGGTGACAAGAATCCAAGTCAGAAGAAAAGGCAGGTGGGCTTTCCAAGAACTGGGAAGTCTAAAACTCAACCGGAAGGGCGTGGCTGCTAAGAAGTCTTCAGTTCTCTGCGTGGCGAGTCCCCTTCCCTAAGTTAGGCCTCATGGTT